AACAGCATCATTTTATACAACCGCACGAAATAAAGGCAACTGGAAGTCATTATACCGGACTGAGCATTCAAAGAAGAAGTGCGTTTACTGTGATGAAATACATATGGGAGATTGTAAGAAAGAAAGTGATATTAAATCGCGCATTCAAATCATAAAATTAAAACATTTGTGTTTTAACTGCCTAAGTAAAAGTCACCAAGTGTCTTGATGTCCGTCCAAGTAACGTTGCCGCCGGTGTCATGGTAAACATCATACTAGTACATGCAGCCATTCCCAATCGACATTTCCCCAAAACTACCCAAATAAGCCCGCCATAGGAAGCCATGAAACACAACAGTCTGACGTCACCGGAAGTTATAGAAACTGGAGTACTAATATTGAAGCCGGTGATACAACTATATTATTTTCAAAAACCCACCAATCAGATGTTTTATTAAAAACTGCGACAGCCCCTGTTTGTGCTAATGGACGATATGCAGAAGCAAGTGTTCTAATGGACGAAGGAGCCCAAAGATCTTTTATCACCCAAAAGTTAGCCGATAAACTTGAATTGAATATTGATGGGACAGATATTATACATTTATCAGCGTTCGGCGACCCAGCGCACAGCGTTCAACATCTTAATACGCAACTGTACATTTAGTAGCACACGGCCGAATGTTAATCCCAATTCGAGTATTGATTGTTCCCGTGATAGCAAAGCCCATTAATAATGTATATCGCAACTCCATCAAACACTTGAAATATCTACAAGGATTCAAACTTGCTCACCCTGATAACACATTCGATGTATCACTATTAATTGGTGCTGATTTTTACTGGCAGATAGTTTGCGACAAATTTATTAGAGGTGATGGACCCACTGCTGTAAGTTCCCGCATTGGTTACTTCTTATCCGGCCCACTTCATGTAGAGAGTAGTTATCCACCTTCCAATGTTATGGAAGTCATAGCAACCCACGTATCTGAAACGACAGACCTCATTCGATTTTGGGATATAGAATAAATGGGTGTTTCAAAAGGAGATTGTAAAGATACCGATGCCTCTTCTTATCTACGACAGTACCAGTAATCGTGTAATTCATTCTCAGACGGAAATTACACAGCGAAGTTGCAATGGAATCAGAACCATCAACCCCTCCCCTCAAACTATAACATTACGAAGAAAAGAACAGAACGTACAATAAAACGCCTAAGTCAGAAGCCCCAGATGTTAATGAAATATAACGATATTATACAGAAACAAGAAAATAGAGGTTTCATTGAAAGAGAAGATGAAAGTTCCACAGCAAAACGCGTACATTATATACCCCATCATGGAAAAGAATTCCACAACAACGCCCATACGAATAGTCTATGACTGTAGTTGCCGCCAATCAGAAAGAAGTCCAAGTTTAATCGACTGCCTTGAATCCACACCTCCAGAGTTGAATGATCTTACCATCCTTCTGTTAAGATTTCGGCTTGATAGATATGCAGTATCATCTGACATAGAGAAAGCTTTTTTTTCGGTCAACACGAAGATGACAGACAGAGAGGCTACCAGATTTCTATGGTTATCTGACCCTACAGATCCCAAGAGCCAGCTTGTGACATAGATTTCGAGTTGTCCATTTTGGAGCCGTATTTATTCTCAATGCTACATTACTTAAACACATGGCCCTGAATGCAAGTAACCCTGCCGCTAATATAATTACCAGAGATCTATATGTCGACAATGTAATTTCAAGTTTAGGATCTTCTTACCTATTTCCGGTATGCACGTGCTCTCATGTCTGAAGCAGGATTCAATCTGCGATCGTGGACTTCAAACTCCAGTAAACTACGTGAACTCCCACTAGCTGAAAAAGTCTTGGACAAGGATAAAGTTGTCAAGGTATTAGGAATGTTATGGGACCCGGATGTTGACGAGATGTCGTTTGTACAGCGCACGATAGTAAACTCTGAGAGAACAACCAAACGTTCTATCCTCAAACAGACTTCAAAATTATATGACCCCCTGGGATTGCTTAGTCCAGTAACTGTATGTGCCAAATTACTACTTCAAGACCTATGAAAGAAGAAATTTGATTGGGACACACCACTTCCGGTTGATATCATTAACACCTGGGCTGATTTGAGCATCGACCTGAACAGCGTTATTCAGACCAAGTTCAAGAGACCATATTTTCCCACCACTGAAAATACAGCAAATTCCACCGATTTTGATTTACACGTGTTTGTTGATGCCAGTGCACTTGCTTATGGAGCCGTAGCGTATCTTACTTCCGGTCATACATCTACCCTTGTATTTTCAAATAATAGAGTTGCACCTGTCAAAAGATAACTTTACCCTGACTAGAACTGATGGCAGCACTCATCGGTGCACGTGTAACCCACCACGTGTCAAATGAAGCCACGTTCAAGAAAATCACATGTTGGTCCGACAGTCAAATAGTGTTAAGTTGGCTGAAATCTACAAAGACACTAAAACGCTTCATTTTTAACAGAGTGGAAGAAATCAAGAAACTGACTCCCGATATTGAATGGAGATATTGTCCAACAGATCAAAATCCCGCTGATTTACAAACCAGAGGTCTAACTGCAACCCAGTTACAATTAAGCACATTATGGAAAAATGGACATACTTGGTTAATTCACAACAATAAATGGCCTGCTTTGGAACAAACCAGGGCAATCACTTTCACTTCGTTGACGGAACGAGATTCAGAGGAACAAATTATATCTGACAAGAGAGGTAACTCTGGTTTACGTCAAATTCTAGAGTTAAACAGATATAGCAGCTTTCACAAGTTATTACGTGTTACGGCATACGTTATACGTTTCACTAAAAACTGCAGAGTGACGTATAATTATCGCCAAAGTTGTTCATTATCTACAAGAGCTGAGATTAGCAGAAGGAAAACTGATTGAAACTTGCCAACAACAATATTTCCCCGACGTAATACATGTGCAAGATCTAAAATCCCAGAAAAAAAACGAAGTCCAATAATTCGACAGCTAAGACTTTATTTAGACAAGGACGGTTGTATTCGTTGTGGCGGAAGAATACATAACGCACAGTTGCCAGAGACAACAAGATTCCCGTTCCTTATGTCCCCAAAAGGTCATATTACCAAACTGATAATAGAAGACGCTCATTACAATCAATTACATGCAGGTGTCGCCCATACTGTTACCCGATACTGTCAATCAGACAGCACGTGAAAAGTGTTCTCCGAAGATGTATCATTTGCAGAAAAGTTACAGGAAGACCCTATACCGCCCCAGATCTCCCATCACTTCCGGTTTTCAGAGTAATCGTCGAACCACCCTTCTCCGTAACAGGTGTCGATTTCACAGGGGCACTTTACATTAAAGAAAAACAAGTTCAACAGAAGGTATACATATGTCTATTCACGTGTGCCAAAACCCGTGGCGTTCAGCTAGAAATAGTTCCAGACCTTACAGAAGAATCATTTATGTTAGCCTTCAGACGATTCATCAGCAGACGATCATAACCAAGACTGATGATATCTGATAATGGTACCACCTTTCATGCAGCAGCCAATCAAATCCGGCGACTCTATAATTCGCAAAATCTTCATAATGCTCTAACACTAAGAGGATCACACTGGCAGTTTATTCCAAAAAGAGCACCTTGGTATGGTGGAATGTTGGAGCGACTAATTGGTGTAATGAAAACAGCAATTAAGAAAGTTCTCCTCGGCAAAGCCTCCATAATTTACAAACGCTGCAGACGATATTTACCGAAGTAGAGGCAATGATGAACCATCGACCAATTACCTACTTTTCTTCTGCAAGAGATGATCCAGATCCTCTCATCCCTTCACACTTACTATATGGACGCAGACTGACAACTCTACCATTCTACGATACTGTGGTAACCAACGATACTCCCTGTTACCATCGTAAAGGTGACGATGCTCGACAACGTGCTAGACGACGTGAGGAGTTAATTAATCACTACTGGAACCGCTGGAAACACGAGTATCTGACGTAATTCAGAGAATACCAATGGTCGAGTGGTACCACAAACCAGACTATTCAAGTTGGTGACGTTGTTATTGTCCAAGACGATTCTACACCCAGGCTACAGTTGAGCCTTGCGGTAGTTGATGAACTTTTAACGGGAAATGACGGGTTTTCGAGGGCCGCGAGGATACGTACATCCGAAGGGCTGACTACACGACCGATTGTCAAATTGTACCCATTGGAAATTATCCAGAAACCAGATGAATAGACATTACGATACTTATTATAAATATTTAAATTATATCGCTAACATTTCGTGAAAAGACAATTCAATTTGTATAGTCATAGAAGAGTGAAAATAATTCAAAACAGAGACTTTACATAGCGCCAATCTGTTTGTTGATATATCTAAATATAGCTGTTTTAATTAGGGTGCTTAATTTCAATATGATTTAAAAGAAGTAATTTCATTACTTTATGTTTTTGTATGACACTTACGCATTTCTGAGGCCCGGAGAATGTTGTAGATTTGGCGCGACGTCACGTAACGTCGCTTTTGCGCAAATTGTTTATTTTATGTTTTTAACGTAACGTCATTTCCTATGTATGTAAACATTCAGTTTGAATAAAGGAAACGAACCGTACATCATGTACACAACGCCTAGTTTTACTCACGATCACGTCCTCACATTTATATAACTATAACAAATATAGCAATCACAGTAGAGTGATAAACCATTATCGAAAAGCTTGACCTATAATAATGTCTAATCAATAACCAGATAATAGTATCATATATCAGATACGTTGAATGGATAAATTCACTTTATGTTCATGTCGATTAAATAAATAATGCTTTTGGCAAGGATCCAAAATATCTGTATTGCCCAATTATGTTAAATAAATGTAGTGATATTACATCGGATCTTGTGCGTTTAAAAGGTAAGTCAATTGTATAGTGATTTTATTAATTTTAAGAGTGTGTGTGTGTGTGTGTGTGTGTGTGTGCGTGTGTACGCGTGTGTGTTATTAGCGTTATTATTTGATGGCTTTGTTTATTTTTAGAGTGCATAGGAATGGAAAATCTGACCATTCATCAATTTTACCAAAATTATGCAAGTGCCACCAGATTCGTTATCCTAAGCATTTCATGGTGCAAGTTTTATGCTATATTTCTTATAACACCAGCGTCTTATGTATTATAACAAATTTAGCATATTTATTAAATTTACAAATATTTAATTATTATCGATCTTAACGAACATCTGATGTTTCAATGTTTTTCACTTAAATTGAGCTAAGAATAACACAAAAGTACGATTTTCGATTAATTTATTAATTGGACGGTATGTCAGTTATCTACGAAAGCCTAATAGTGTCAAATAAAATATAAAAAAATGCAAAGGCGTTATAACGCAGTAAAGGCATTATTACCCGAATCAAAAGGCGAAATAATGCGAATAAAGGCATTATAACGCGAATCAAAAGGCTTAATAACTCGAATAAAGCGTAATAACGTGAACCAAAAGGCGTAATAACGCGAATAAAAGCGTTATAACGCAAATCAAATGGCATAATAACGCGAATAAAGGCGTTGTAACGCGAATCAAAAGGCGTAATAACGCCTTTATTCGCATAATATCGCGAGACAAAAGGAGTAATAACGCAAATCAAAAGGCGTAGTAACGCGAATAAAGGCGTAGTAACGCGAACTAAAAGGCGTAAAAACGCAAATTCAAATGCATTATACGAAGAAGGGTGGTTCGACGATTACTCTGAAAACCGGAAGTGGTGGGGGATCTGGGGCGGTATAGGGTCTTCCTGTAACTTTTCTGCAAATGATACATCTTCGGAGAACACTTTTCACGTGCTGTCTGATTGACAGTATCGGGTAACAGTATGGGCGACACCTGCATGTAATTGATTGTAATGAGCGTCTTCTATTATCAGGTGTCGATTTCACAGGGGCACTTTACATTAAAGAAAAACAAGTTCAGCAGAAGGTAAACATAATGTCTATTCACGTGTGCCAAACCCGTGCCGTTCACCTAGAAATAGTTCCAGACCTTACAGAAGAATCATTTATGTTAGCCTTCAGACGATTCATCAGCAGACGATCATAAATTTATTTATTTATTTTTTGTTTCAAAATAACACATAAACTATTCCCTACTTCTTGTAAATAAAAAATGCAAACAGTATATCAGAGTGTTATTTCGAATCGATTGGTTATAGAATCTTAGAATTTAGTGATGGTTGGAAGACAGGCCCAGTGAAATGGGCCACGTGAGTTATTATCTTGTCAAGTAAATTATAAAATTGAAAGGAATTATGGAAATATGTAAACCTAATATGATTTTCACCTGTTAACTTTATATATACTCTTGGATGGGCATAATGAATCTTTAATTTTACACACATTTAGAAATAAACTAAGTTCTTAATGTTTTTCTTTAAAAACAATGTCAAGATATTTACAGTAATTTATTAATTATTATAATGAATTGAACCGGAGTCGCGTATTCATCAAAAGGGCGTAACCAGGTTCAAGGTTAGTACATATTTTTCTTTTGTGGGAGTGAAGTTTAATTTTATTAGACTTTTAAATTATCAGGTAATAAATCTATAAATGAGTCTAACACTATCGGCAATTTCTCTTATATAAACAAAGAAGGGCGAAGCGGGATATATTTCGAAACAATGCACTCGCCCTTCTAATTCCCTCCCTCTGAATTTTCAAACCGACACATTGACGACGCCATTTTGTTTGAAAAATCTGATAATTAGAAAAAAAGTTTTTTAGTTGAATATTATTTACACAACTATCTAGAAAGATAGAAAATGTTCTAAGTCAACAAATTCGAACACCAACTTCTTGAATTCAGTCATAAACTTAAAGTGCTGTTGTGACTTCACAATGTAGCGCCAAACAGTAAAGCAAGTACGCTATTTCAATGTCGCAAACGAGTTAAATTTTCATTTTCTTTAACTATAAATATTCTGCATTTCGCTTGAAAAATATAAAGTGAAATAAAATAAACATACAATTTTTATCAACGTTTTCACAATTCATTATTCTATAATGCTCATGCAAACGGTAGAGTTAACGCATTTGAACTCAAACCGTGCATTATTCTACAGCAATTACTTCCTATATCTAGCATTTGTACCCAAGAAATACCTATATCAATATTATAATAAACTTATTTTTTTGCTTTCAGAAATGGATCTGAATGATACAAAAATAATGTTTAAAAAGTGAATGAAAGAAATGTAATCCTATTGGTGTTTAAACCCACGTCCCTCATTTCAATGCGGTTGACAGTATTCGTAGCCTATTTACTACTTTTTACTACCATTCAAGGCGGAGGTAACGGATTAAAATCTATAAAATATTTTTTCTTTCTTATATTTACATCAGCAGTTGTAGTAATTTGTCTATTATTTTAAATTGGGACTATATAGCTATATGTTAATACATGTATATTGACCTATGTTTATATGTGATGCATGTATGGAAGAGGAACGTAAGTTCAATTCCTTATTTTTGAATAAAATTGTTCTGTTCTGTCATAACTTAAAGGTACATTATGCCAAAGAAATTCTTTCATTTTTATTTCTCAAAAGCTTTTTATTTTTTTATTTTTGGTGTCTTTTCATATTGTAAAAGGTACTTATTGGCCAAATACATTTTGTACCGGAACCATCTTTTTTCTTCGGTTGATTTTTATAATAATAATAATAATAATAATAATAATAATAATTATTATTATTATTATTACTATTATTATTATTATTATTATTTTAACAACTAGTACAGTTATACTGGTTTAATATTTTGTATGGAAGTCAAAATACTACTTTGTTTACATTTCTACTTTAAAGTCTTTTATAACTAATATACTTTCATATGCAGCTCTTCTTTTACCAGCTGATAATGATCAGGTGATAAGCCACTTACACGCTCTTAAAACATTAACTATACGCTATATTACTTGTTTTGCGCTTTATAAAGATGGATACGGAAGCTTCAAAGGGTCATCTTCTCATAAAAGATTGCGTAGAAGGTGACCCTTTGAAGCTTCCGTAGATGGAAAAGTTATGAATAAAAAAATGTCCGCATTATTTTGTTTTTAAATTAATTGGATTAAGATTTAGTGTATGTAATAGGGGTGGTTCGGCGCAATATAAATATAATTATCCGAGCCCCTAAGGGTCAAATGAGTTCGGGATTGTTAAAATCAAATCAACAAACAGCTGTAAAGTTCTATCCTGTTTTTATACTGATCCAACAAGGTTGTTACATCACATAAGGTACAAACAAGTAGATTCTGTAGGTACAAACCAACACTCTGAAATAAGTATATGTAACAATATGTAAATATTAAGTAAAATAAAGTAGAAATAATGCATTACATGAATAAATATTATATCTTATGTTCTAATCTAGAACATAATCAATTACATGTCTAATGGCCAATTTAGTTCTTTACACTCAGCAACAGTCCTTAAATATAGTATCATAGCTTATGGAATTATACACACAGTTAACATATTTTACCTTTTAAACAATACACAATACATCACACATGTAACTTACCATCTAAGGGATGAGTGTAGTACATCAATCTAATTATTACCTCTCTGACTATCACACCAGTGACTGTTAACTGCAAGGTTAAATATTAATAGTGAATAAAAGATGAAAGGTGATTTGATAGATACATGTCATTCTTATGGACTGAACCAAAATAGAACAGAATCACAATAATGCAATTCTACATATTTACAATAAAGCATTTAGCAGCAGTCAGGATAAATACATACCAACTAAGGAAATAAAGAACTTGACCACAAACACTAATTTTTCTAACCTCTCTCCTTTACAACATAACAAAGACACAATGACTTTTCCCACCAATAAATCACATGACATACAAATAGCTTAAAACCAACGATCCGTGAACCAATCATTTAAATTCTTAGAATACTGACCAATGTAAACATAAGATAAAATCAGTTAAAACCAATAGAGTAGTCTCCCTTGAAAAGTATCAGACAAGACCGGCGGATTTGTCTCCCTTTGCTAAATTATATAATCCAACAGTAAAGCAAGAGTATTGCCCCTTAGACCTGATCCTAAAAATAAGACCCTGTTACAATAACTGTACACATAACTGAATCGGCCGAGAAGTAAGTATCGTTTGTCTTTGATTAAGACTGACTTTCTATAAGACCAAGAAATAATTTTAAGTTTTTGTAAAAGAATTGTTACATGAATTCTTTCGATTTGATATTATCAAGAACTCTTTAACTGTCATTGAAATGTACTATAATATATTTGGTTTTAGGGACAGCAAACTGTATTTTCATGATATGAAGCATACATTTCTTTTGAAAATGATAGATATGTTAATGTCCTATTCGACCTACTTAAGAAATAAATCATGTACATTTCAATTCCTTTTGATAAAAAGCAAAATTACTCAAAAAAGTGAAGAACGCACTAACTAAAATTCATGTTAATCATATATTAAAGGGACTGCACTGAGATTTATTTTCTACTGGACTAGATTTTTTTTCTAATCCATGTCGGACTAAGAATAGCACAAAAATACGTTTTTCAATTTATTTGGAGTATATTTCTTAATTATCTTTTGCATATCTTTCTGTTATAAGTGTCCCAGCTGATCTATGTAAGAAATTCAAATGTTATGAAGTTTACTTTAAAGTCAGTTAAATAGAATTAAAGTGATTTCAATGTTACAATCAAATCATATCTTTAAAACAATTACCAGCATGCATTTGTAAAAAAAACAATGTTTGTATCCAATTTTGATATTTGAAACAGATTTTATTTCTATTAGTTTGTATTTCCTTTCTTTTAGAGTATATGCAGAATGAGTGCCACATTGATGGTTATAGCTATTGATATAGGAACATCGTACAGTAGTGGTTTCTTCTCATTCAAACACGATCCAACGGAGATTGAAAGTGTAAAGGAATTTCCATATGAAAAAGTTCCTTCGATAGTTCTTTTTGACAAAAGAAAGGAATTTCAAAGCATTGGCTATGAAGCAGTTGACCATTACAAACAGCTTTCAGACGAAGAAAAAAGATATTGGTACTACTTTAAAGATTTTCACAAGTTATCAAATGAGCATAAGGTATGCTTTCAACTCATCAAGATTATTTTGAGGAGAGTGGGGGCAAAGAACAAAAACATTTATATATATATTTGTAACCTGTTAGATGTTAAATTATTATAAGTGCTTGAGTAACATTTCACATTTTATATTAAATTTTATAGGGAAATGAGGAAGATTGTAGATCCGAATAGATTATACCCCGTCACTTAATTTTTTAGTGTCCATGGGGTCTCGTGATACTTGCATTTCCGTGATTTTTCTCTATGCAAGTTTTGAGCTTTATAAGATATAAAAAGAAAATGCAAAGCATTACTATAAAAAAAATTTTCAACTCTTATAAGTAAGTATGTATCTCTCAATTTTGCTGAAGGTTTAATAAGTATTCTAACAGAAAGGCGTTTTATATCTTTAATGAAGTACTTAAAATGTATTTATAAAACAAATTCCGTATGTTATTTTCATCAAACGTTTAATACAGCCCACAGAACTTGAAATAACTGAGAGCAATGGTAAAAGGCTAGAAACGTACACAGTTTATGGGTCGATAATAAAATACTTTACAGACGCAATGTTTACCAAACTACGAAATGCTGACCTCATATCTAGTAATTCTGACATATATGTCGTGCTTATAATTCCTCCAGTATTTGCGAGATCTCACAAGTCGATGCTACAGAAAGCTTTTTCATACGTAAGTTCGTTCCTGTAGGTAAGCGGATTAATCATTACAGAGTTTTGACAAGTAAAATGGTTTCCTGCGGGGAACATTTATAAAGATTTAAAGATATTTCATTTAACTATTTTCAACATGGTTTGGGGAAAAAAAATAACGTTTGTATCAGGAATATAGTTGACAATAATCGATCAATAGAAGAAGGTCTTTGGTCTTGGTCGAAAATAAAACAATATTTCTGTTTAAGAAAATGATTAAATACCATTGTATGAATAATTCCGTGCAAAAAGAGTAATAAAATAAAATAAAGTAAACACACAAGTTTACGCAGAAAATATCTCTATCTTTTATGGCAGATGCCACAAATTTATGGCAGATGCCACAAACGAATGTTTTAATTCTGCGGATTTTCACTATAAACAATTTATTGTCTGTAAAATTTCAGATAGATATTAAAGAAACAATTATAATTTTCAAACACATCATGCAAGTTTTTCCACCTTAAACGGTAAAATAATAATAGAAAATTAGAAATATCACGTAATAGTGTTATGTTCTTAATTAGGTGTAATTCGGACTTATTCCCTAGCATTGTATACACCGGTCATTTGAGAGACCGGTGTGTATACAATGATTCCCTAGATTTAAATCCGTAACGTACCGGGAAACGGTATTTAGCTAGGTTTTCAAATAGGTCAATTAACCAATCATGTACAGTTTACAGATCACATGCTCCTCCATGTACCGAAAACAGGTCACGTGCTCCTCCATGCCTCAAAAATTAAACGCGTACCCTGCGGGCTCCGGCCCGCAGGGAATAATAAAGTGTTTAATTTTTTTTAAACTTCTTACAGTTATAATCGTTTATTAAAATCAAATTGCATTGTAGAATTATAAAATGTTTAACCTGAAAACAATATGTCCATTGTTTCATAGAAGTGATTGTTATTTGATAATACATGTATTTTGTAGAACATATAATTATATTATAGTGTATTTTCTTTTTTTACATTTCGTTTCTCTCTTTCTTTCTTTCTTTCTTTCTTTCTTTTTGTTTTCTTTTAAAAAATGCTGAGTGCATATTCAAATTGTGATAACGTATTTATATCTCAAATTTGCTGTTTTAGTGGATACAGAATGATATGAATCTTGTTTATATTTTGGAACAGGCTGGATTTAATAAAAACTACTCATTTGTTAACGAGTCAAAGGCTATTCTTTCTTATTGGGAACACATGTGGAGTGACGAGCAGACTCTTCCAAAGAATGTTGACCTGAATAATGAAATTGGCTTCCTTCTTGTAAATTTGAAAGGTAAAATCCATAAAAGAAAATATTTCAATAATTCGTCACCATTATAATTATCATGATAATCTTTGAGAAAAAAACACATTCAAACTTTCAAGATCGATTATTTCAGTTGTCTTTGGTCGATTTTGAAAATTAAAGAACAGGATATGCTGGATGATATATAGAATATGTATATTGATCAATCAATTATAGACTTATTTACGATTTAAATTTGGATATAACTCAATTTTTTAAATGTTGCTCACTGTTTAAGTGAGGTTACTAGATAATACTGGAGATATCACAGTCTGAAACAAAGATAGCATGACATACCTCAATTTGAAGATCCCAAGATTAAGAAGACTGTATCATCTGCCTGAACTGAAATTTAGCATTATACTGCGTTAACTCCAGAACATACCACATGCACCATTCACCACTACTGGTGTTATAGTACTTGTGTAAGCTGTGGAAATGTCATATTTACGCCAATGAGGTTCGCACTCAAAATCCCGATACTTTTAATTTCTAGGCACACTTTCCCATGCATATCGAATTTCATTACCGAATACCACCACATCTATAAATGCTTGACCAATCCAAATAATGTAGTTTACTGTAATACATACTTTTTTTCACAAATTTCAAAACTGAAAGCAAAAATAATGAAGCCAATATAAAGAAGGAATGAATAATTATCATAATTTAACCAATCAAGGAATTTTCATTGAAAGTCCTTTCAACCTTCCTAATATATTCCATAAGTATTTGCTCCCATGCTTATTTGCAATATACATGTATATTTGAAGATAAACTTATAAAACAATTTCAGGATCCACGGCATTGGTATCAGCGAATTCGACAAAAGATGGGATTCAACGCAGACTTGCATATGTCGCAGGTGGCGGTTGGGGTGGTCAAGCTGTACACGAAGAGCTAAAACAGTTCATCATAAAAATTGTGGGCGCACCTGTGTTTCTCAGGTACATCGAGAGTTATAAAGGCAGCACGTTTGATTTTAAAAAATATGTTGCAAATATATTCAACAGATTTGGTAAAGGAAGTGAGATAAAATTCAGATTACCGTTATGTGATTTATATGAGACGGAGTTCAATGAAAGCTTAAAAACTGCCGTAAAAGATTCACTATTTTCCAATGAAGTTACAGTAGCAGGTGAGTTTTTATGCATAAAACCTAAAGTTTTTAATGGTTTCTTCAAGAACACGTTAGAAGCGATTGTGTCAAACATTAAGGACATCTTATCTGACAAAAGTACCACAAAAATTAAAGTTATTGTAATGGTGGGCTATTTCTCAAGAATACAATTAGTCCAGGATACTGTAAAAAGTGCTTTCCCCGACTGTCGGGTTCTTGTTCCTTCTGAACCTGAATTCACATTAGTTAAAGGTGCAACTCTGACAGGACATATTGGTAAAATACCATCTGCACATCCAAAGGCAAGAAGCATCGTTCCTCAAAATACAATATGTGCTGTAGTGCAACACATTAATGATGAACGTGAATTTCCAGAATTTGTAAAAGAGATCAAGAAGGTTTTGATTGAGAAAGGCTCACATATACAGGAAGGAGACAAACAGGAATATAACTTTACAATGGATGACATATGTGATATGGAGCACATTGATATCTTCATTTTCGCCTCTCCTAAAGCTGAAACTTGTGAATCTGCTTCTTTAAACAACGATGATGTGAAGATCATAAGAAAAGAAAGAATGAATTTCAACGGTGCTCACACAATGAATATCAAAATCTACGTTACGATTTATGGTATACGTTGGAATATATCGGATGACGGCGGAAGAGTGGCGATTGGCTTTGAAAAAATAGAATAATAGGGGAATTATGTGAAAAGAAACAGGTACGATTTCAAGATAGTATTATTATGATTAAAGTCTGTTTTTTTCTGTGTTAACTTTAAGTATGATACATAAAATTTTGACCAGAGCTGTAAAATTTGGTCAAGTACTAGCTGTAACGAATCTGACTATCTTTACAAATGGTAAATTGTGTCAAATTGTAATTGAATAATGAATAATTAGAAATAATATTTCTCTGCCATTTTCTTTATATTAGGTACAAAATTATGCATTTAGGTAAGATTATACATTTTTACAGTGATAGAGTGATGTATTGCACTGTAGGTTAGAATACAGATGTTAATATATAAGTTACAAACTCTTGAACAGTCATTGACAACCAAGAGATCTTTTGATAACAATACCTGAACTTTTTATTATGATACACTGGATACTAAATATTTAACTCATTATTATTATTAATATTTACTATTATTTTAAGTACATTTAACTTTTACAAATTTGCAGAATGAAGAAAATGGACAATCACATAACTATATCTTGTATAGCATTTACGATGTAAAATAAAGTACATTGATGTAAGAAATTAGAGGCAAAAGCCCATTTTAGATACTTGTCGAAAGTAATGTCGTTTTAAAAGAAAATGCTATGTTTTATATAAGTAAACATAATATTATAAATGCAAATGACTTTGGTCACATCTGTTGGGTAAGAAAATGATTTAAGTAATGTTGTATTTTATTACGCAACCCTGACTTTAAGAAATTTTCTCTCTTTAACTAAGGTCAATATGATGTAACAAAATTGTAATTGTTGTTATATATCAATGCATGTGAATATCTATATCTGTATGTATGTGTCTGTGCGTGTGCGTGCGCGCGCGTGCGCGTGTGTGTGTGTATGTAAGCATATGAATGAATGAATGCATTCGTATGTATGTAGGTATGTAGGTATGTATGTATGCATGCATGTATGTATGTATGTATGTAATACTATTTGCCAATTGCAGGAAATAAAGATATAATTTATATGAAGTTTATTTTCAATTAATCCATTTTACACTATCCTTTTAAAGTACACATTATGAATGACATTTTAAGTATTCATGAACATAATAAATAATGCAATTACTTTGAAAATAAGGACTGTAAATACAAACCATTCTGAGGTAATAAATTAATTTAAATATGGTCCATGAATTTAGTTTGAAATTGCCTCGAATTAAATTTTTAACAGGGGGAGGATGGATAATAAAGCCTCACCAGCGCAGGACTGCATTGATCTAACGTTTGGTACTTGTGAATTAAACATTAAACTATAGGAAGTTACCTTAAAAATCTGAAGAAAAGAGTGAACTTTGTTATTTTCTGACACTAAAAAAAATCAAAGCACGGAAGACGCTGAATTTTTAGGGTCAGGTGAAGGTTGTGAGATTACAAACCAATTTGTTTTTGTATAGTGCCACCAATGCTTTCGATAGTTTTAACTGTAGTAAATTGGCTATAAGACTAATTGCAACACTGATATTCAATTCAATGTTTATTTCACTTAAACAATTAAAAAAAGAGAGTTGCCTTAACTCGGTTTTGAACTCCAGGCCTCTCGATTCAAAGACCAAAGGGAGCGTGCAAACCACTCGACCACGGTGAAGTTATATGCCTGAAGAAAACCATATTATTCTAAATTAGGGTTTGTAAATCTTAATATTTCGACGCTAACACAGATGTAAATATTCATGGAGCTTACTATAAGCATGCATATCTATAAAGAATAAAACAATATTAGAAATCTTCGACCATTCGGGAACAATTTTGCTTGAAAATTAATGCGCCTGTCATCTTTACGCAGTGATCTCCCCTGAATTTTTCGGCGTTAGTGTACATAAAAAGGGAAGTAACCGCTTCAAAAAGCGGACTAGTTTCGGCATTTGCAATTAACAGCATCAGGGTCTGGAATTTCGCTACCATTATTTGTTTGGTCTGACGACCCAAACAAATAAAAACAAAAACGATGTAATACAACAGGTAATAAAGAGAGCATCGAACACGAGGCTATCTAATTTGAAAAAGGGTTTATCCTCCGAGTATACATCAGATTGTCCAGTGTTTTGATATTCTTTCTCTTTTGTATCGTAGACAAAAATAAAATACGTTCCCTTTTGTCACGATTTGAAATCCCAGAAAAAAATGTAATCATGAACGAGCATCAGAATATGATATTTCTATCGCCATCCCTTTCTCTATCGTTACAATTAGTAAAACCGAGAACAATTGAGTCAATCAATGGAACATGCTCTAGCGTGCGGGTAACTAATTGATAAATCCCTACTCTGACCTTTTATTTGAATAACAATAGATTTAACCACAAACATTGACATGTGCTCTTTTGTTAACAAATAGGTTGTGGTGAAATTGTTATTGTATCCGCTCATCTGATAATAAGAATTAGATAGGTCAGGGATCTATGCATATAACGCACTGTGCGTGTATATGTATATGATATAACTTTGATAAGGTCCGTAAAGTATGATACAAATACAAGTTAAAGGAGCATTGTTAGTGGTACAATAGACAGAAAAAACATCAGAGTTATTTGAGTTTTTAAATGACAGCTTCTTCTTAACTCAATATTGATCCTGTTTCCTACATATAACTCGAAGCTGCCATCCTTAAAATGATACTTAGCTTTGGAAAGTCCTCGACTCTAATTCCTTGAAAAAAAAACTCAAGTATTAAACTGTTTGCTAGGGTAACTTAATCATTAAAGCAGCACGCCTCCAGATTCAACCTAATTTTCATGAAAATTTTGAAAATGTATTTAAAGGTAAAATATTGTGAAATGAACAAAGAAAGTACTTGACACATTACAATCGGCACTTAAAATCCAAAAAGAGGTCAAAATATGCATAAGCTAAGCCCCTACTGCGTTAGTAACGCAGTAGAAATATGGTGATAAATACTACAAAATACAGTCATTAATTGCACATAAGATAAAAATTATCACTTGAATCTTTAATTTGTTTACTTTTCTCAAAGTTTTAGTATGGTTTTTCAAAGTTTAATTTTCTTGAAATATTTTGGGTCATCTGGAGGCATGCAGCTTTAAATGAATTTCATCGCGAAATAGACATGTAAATATCAATCCCTTACGATGCAATCAGTTCGGTAATAATGGTCCTAGATTGCTCATTTGAGATCCATTTCTTGAAAGGTCTTCCACATAAAAATGAATATGCGACGCAAAACTGTATTTTTTTCCATAAAAAACAATACCAACTATATGGCGATCAGAATGTGGTCAATTTGACAATGTTTCCTATTAAATATTACTTTTGAAGGGGACCACGAGGTAATGATTTGACCTCAGAAGCTTAGTTTTTGTTGAGGCCTGAATAATATATCGGATTTGTTTTGTAGATTTACACAGGATGAAAATCAATGCATTTTACTATTATATAAGTCTATATAAACTAAGTAACCAAGGGGTAGGCAATTTTGATCCTATTAGACATAATCCATATATAAATGTCGAGCACAATACAATGTTTCATTTTAAATATGCTTCAGACAATGTGAAATAGAAAATAAGATTTTATATAACAAAATTTATATGTAAACTTAATACCTAAGCGAGAGGTCATTTCATACCCCGGGGGCATGATTTATATAACTTTTGAAGAGGACATCAAGGCAATAATTCATACTAAATATCTGAACCCCGAATTGTATAGCTCCCACAAAAAGATTGAACTGAATTTCAAATATACGTATATATCAACTGTTTTATTTTCAATATTGTTAAGCTTTTATGACCTATTTTTGCATCAGTCAGGAACAATAAATAATGTTGTTGTAAATAGGTTCTGTGTCACAAATGGTGGAGAAAGACTTCAAAAATCCCATCCATGCAGCCACCTAAGTAGAACATCTGATATAATGTAAGATGTCTGGATAGCTTTTTCCTCAAGTGAATTCGAGGTTTACTAGAAGGAACAATTTTGAAGTTAAGACTTTAACAACATGGAACTATTAATATAATATTATATTGTAAAGGGCCACGTTCGGATCAATCCTGTAAAGTTTGGTCAAAATATTGTGATTACGGAGTAGATGTTATTCAAAGAAGTTGTAGATAACTACTAACAGCGGACACATAGTCATCACAAAAGCTCACCTATTATCACAAAGTCCTCAGGTTAACTTATAAAATCAAAAATTGACATTGAATATAAACACCACTTTCAAGTATTTTACTTATTTTAAATACAACAAAAAAGGCTCTTATATAAAATGATTTAAGTATCTTGTCAAAATGAGGATGTTAAAGCAAGAAGATAAGTGACAAATGTGACAGACCAGTCGATCGGAATAAATCAACAAGAAAGGATCATTGAGGAGAAACAAACATGTCAGAATATCTTTTTTATTCATGATAGCAATAAATAATGGTTTCAACATATATATGTATATAAATATATCATAAGAATGTATTATGTAATCATCTCACTCAAACATAATATTTAATCATTGTTCATATACAACAACACATATATAGTAAAAAGTCAGATTATGTTTGAAATAAAAGAAGTGTCGAGTGCAACATGTTTTTATTAAATACCCTACACATTGTAATGACCATCTGAATCTTGTAGTAATTTATTCAAAAAAAAAGAATATGAAATCATGAACAATGTAACAGAAAGAAAATGAAAACAATGACACATTTCTATGCCAAAAATGTCTTATCAGTTCTTATTATCTTCAATTTATTGATATTCAATAGTCATAGCAAAAAAAAATGATCCAGCATGTAACCCAGGTACATTCCCTTGCTGTCATTTTACAAAATATAAAAATTGTTTGTTCACCTTGAACTATATTGATAAAACTTCATATGATATTAATTTAACAATTTAAATCTGACTTACATTGTTATTCTACAAGAAGTCTCGAAAAACAGTTAATTCGTTTCGCCACTCATCAATGAAATGAGCTGAAATGTTTTCTTAGAAAGAGTGACACCCTAGAAAGGTTCCTGACATAATATAATGACTCAGTAAGTGAAATACTTTGTTTTGTGCTATGCCAGTTATTTCGTGCAATCCTTTCTATGTAAAGTATAATTGCCAAGTAATAAAGAACCCAATAGGCTTTAATAATTTTATCATAAATAGTAACAACTAGATCTATCACTGAAGGTGATTAATACCCCCACCAGCAGGTTTGACTAAGGTATATCACCGTGGGTTGTGTCAGCTTCATTGCGTTCCTTGAGACTATCACTATATGATTTTACTGAGATCAGGACCCTCTTAGAGGCCTATCAACGTGGGTTTTATCGGCTTCACTGTGTTCTCTGAGGCTTTCACCGTGGGTTTTACCGCAAGCATGCCCCCCTGAAAGGCCTTTCACTGTAGGTTTGGTTAGCTTGGTTGTGTTTGTGTTTCCTAAGGCTGAAATTAGGTGCTACCTATGGCGCGGACAGCTGTTATGAATTATGATTTTAGCATAACATGTATATTGTACATGTAAACCAGATCTTTGTTGCACGTATTTTGTACCATAAACAACGAATAAATTGGTGGTGTTCAACCTATCATCGAAGCGCTGGGAATATGCCAAAAATCTCCGAACGTAAAGGGAGACCAATGCGCATGCGTCGGCGCTAGAAAAATCCCATCATCCCGTCCGCCATTTTTGTTAATCTCTTATCACAGTTGTTGTTTTAAAGTTATTTTTTTATGTGCTAATTTATCAAAATGATAAGTCATTGTAAAAATGTTCCACAATCATCTGTAAAAAATCAAGGTTCGTTTAATAACTGCCAAAAACTTGCCGTTATTCAACGACAACACTCGAACAAAGCTCGGTGTCAATGAGGCCCTTTAAGTGATCCATAAAGTTTTGGCATATCTTTTTGTCTTTTTGATCAACACGATGACCACAGTTATGCCCACTATAGATTCCAGGTACAAAATACATTATATAAGGTCTTCCAAAAGGTATTTCAAA